GAAAAAAAATTAGCCGGGCATGGTGGCGCATGCCTGTAGTCCCAGCTACTCAGGAGGCTGAGGCAGTAGGATCGCTTGAGCTCAGGAGTTTGAGGTTGCAGTGAGCTAAGCTAACACCACGGCACTCACGCTAGCCAGAGCAACAGAGTGAGACTCTGTCTCAAAAAAAAAAAACAAAAACCAAAATGGAGAGATTACCATTAACTCATTCCATAGGAACTAGCAGTGGAAGAAATACCGGACTAGGATCAAGATACGTGGATTCAGGTCTCAGCTCTGCTAGTGAAGTCTCAAGCAACCCTAGACAAATTTGGCTAACTTACGTGGCCTTTTTTTTTTTTTTTTTTGAGGCAGGATCTCATTCTGTTGCCTGGGCTAGAGTGCTATGGTGTTACCATAGCTCACAGCAACCTCACACTCCTGGACTCAACCAATCCTCCTGCCCCAGCCTCCTGAGTAGCTGGGACTATAAGCGTGAGCCACCATGCTGGGCTAATTTTTTCTATTTTTAGTAGAGACGGGGTCTCACTCTTGCTCAGGCTGGTCTCGAACTCCTGACCTCAAGCGATCCTCCCACCTTGGCCTCCCAGAGTGCTAGGATTACAAGCGTGAGCCACCATGCTGGGCTAATTTTTTCTATTTTTAGTAGAGACGGGGTCTCACTCTTGCTCAGGCTGGTCTCGAACTCCTGACCTCAAGCGATCTTCCTACCTTGGCCTTCCAGAGTGCTAGGATTACAGGCCTCTGAGCCACTGGGCCCAGCCAAGGGCCTTTCTTGTCAAATGGGAAAAATACCTCTTATGGATGTAAAAATGCTTTTGAAAAAACATTAAAATAGTTTACAAAGGTAAAGAATCCCTAAAATGATACATCTCTCCTGCTAATGTCAATTCTGTTGAACCCCTACCTAAGGACAGCCCTGACTTGTGAGGAAGACAGAAAGTTTATCGAACGGTATTTCTACTTCCTCCCAGGGCAGCAGTTACCTGTCGGTACCAGAGTATTGGATCCACCTCTGCCTGTCGGCCACACTCAGGGCCCGTCTTGGCCTCAGAGGCCTCCTTGCCTAGGTGGCTGGCCTCACTCAGCTTCACTTTAAGGCCTTCAGGGGCCTGGCTGGGGAGTTTTGAAGAGTCATCTAACTTGGGAATGATGACGGATTTGGCAGTGTCAGCCCCTGGCTCCTTGGCCTTGCCGGGCCCTGACTTCACGAGGTCTGTCAGGCTGGGGGCTTTGGTGAGAGTGGGTGGAATTGACGGCTTTTGCTTCCATTCCTCCTTGAGCGCTGCCTCCCGCTCCTTCAGGCCCATCTCTGCCTTCTTGTCCAGGCCCCGTGGCTGCTGCTCTAAGCTCTGCCGTTTCTGCTGCTCTTCGTACTGCTGCCGGTACGCTGTGTTGGTGCTCAGGAGGTGGGTGTGGTAACTCTGGTCGCTGTAGCCGTAGGGCGGCACGTAGGCGTACTGGTTGTAGTACAGCGACTGCATGTACACGTTGGGACGCGGCTGGATGACGGAAGGCTGCTGGCCGGAACTGCTCAGCTCGGGTTTCTTCTCCTCACAGATGTCGTTCTTCACTTTCCCCTCCATGCTCTCCGGCTCCTCGTCCTTTTTCGTCTTCAGGGCCTGGCTCTCCAGCCCTGCCTGGCTGCTGGGGTTCAGAGCCCCTGGGCTGGACTGAGCGTAACTTGGAGAGTAGTAACTCTCGAAGCCTTGGTAGTACGGCGAGTCTTTGCTCTGTGGCTGAGGGGGGAAAAGAGTTTTCTTAGCCCCTTCCTTAACCAACTGTTCAGGGTCCTTTGCTTTGACACTGTCCACCTTGCCCTCCCCGTCCTCCCCAGCATCAGAGATGTCAGAGTACGCAGGGCTGTTGGTTTTGACTGAGCTAGCTTCAGCTCCATTCTGGGTCACCACATGTAAGGGAGTCAGGGGCTGGGTCGGGGTGGTGCTATCTAGGCGGCTACTGCCTCCAATAGAAGGGCTGGGGGCGTTGTCAGTGAAGCTGTAGATCTTGTCAGCTTCAGCCTTGATGCTGGCCAGTCGGCTCTGGTGGGGGTCTGATGAGCCATTTAGGAGCCCCTCCATTTTCATCCCATCTCCTGATGATTCCCTGAACGGGCTTTTGCCTTCTTCTGCCCGACACACCTTCCCAGGGGTCAGAGGACTTTCAAGTTCCTTGGAAGATTCTTTCTTTTTTTTGTCTTTCTTTTTCTTGTCCTTGGCTGGAGTCAAGGCAGGGTTGACTGTGAAAGGTTCTCCCATAACAGTGGGCTTGGGCTGAATGGGCTTGAGCTGGGGACTGTTGGGCATGGCTTGGACCACTGTGGTGGTCAAGCCCGAGGAGGAGCCTGGGCTTGCTGCCGTGAAGGTGGCTGTCTGGAAGGTGTAGATTTGCTGTGGGGGGATGGCAGGGGCAATGGGCCGGGCTGACTTTAAGCTCTTAGAAGGAATCTTTTCAGCTTTCAAACTAGAGGGTTTTTTACATTTTTCTTTTTCCATACATTTCCTTTCCAAAGAATCAAAGGCATCATTGCTTGTTTCATCCATTACTGAGGGTCCATCATCAGAGCCATCATTGGATAAGGCCCCAAGATCTGTGTCCCCTTCCCCACTCAACTTTTTCTTACAGAGGCCTTTTGTGCTGAATTTGCTCGAAGGAGAAGGGCTATGGGGTTCTACAAGGCGAACTTTGGGGGTAGCTGAGCGGGCAGGGGACAAGGAACCTTTCTGTGCGACAGAGGCACCGTTGCAGCTCCCGAGGTCTGCATGGAGGGTGGGCTCCTCTCCATACTCACTATCTCCGTCTGCTTCTGGCTTGCTGTCATCATCTGTATGGGCATGAGCTTGGTGGTACTTAAGTCCATTGATGTGCTTGTACTTCTTGTTGCAGTTTGGGTGGGGACAGTCAATCAGGACTGGGGAGGGACAATTTCTGTCCAGAACAGTGGGTTCCACCTTGGTCCCAGGAAGGGGGCCAGTGGCTGAGCCCATAGAATTCGTACGGACACGTTTGCTCCCTTTGGAGTCCTCCGAGCTAGAATTCAGCTCCATGTCTGAAAGGGGTTTGTTTTTCCGCTTGTTAGCTGAGGAAGGGCTGGCTTTGACATCCTCAGAGGTGCTGCTGGCAGGTGGGCGATGCTCTGAAGAATTCTGGCTGCCCCGACGACCTTTGCTATTGGCCCCCGCCCGGGTTTTGCTGCTACTGCTGGTTCCTTTGCTGTCGGAGGCTGTGGATGTCTCGTTGACAGGCGTGTTACTGTTGGGACGCATGCGTTTGCCTCTGCCCCGACCATTACGCATTTCCAAGTCACTGGTAGGGGAGTCACAGAACCTTGGCAAAGGACAAACACAACAGGATATTATTAAGAAAAAACATCTTCAAACCAGTTTAGCTGTAGTGTCCAGATGGCGACTGTCATTTTCAATGAATATGATTTGTTAAAAGAACTTCTGATTGTGTGGAACTGCATTAAGTGGTAAGCTCCTAGGATGCTATCTGCATGCTAGCTGTAAATTATTCCCCAACTTTTACCTCTAAAGCCATGCAGAGTTGGTTCCATGAGACAAAGAACAATCACGTTTATATTTCCTATATGCAGCAGTAGCCATAGTTTCAGAATAGACTTTAGAAATCATCTAGGAAATTGAAGCCAGGCATGCTAAGTGACCTGCCCAAGGTCACAACGTTGATCAATGGCAACTTATGACCAGAATCTAGCTCTACTTTTAGCCCAATGCTTTTTTCCTACACAACTCATATAGACACAAAGCACTCATCCACTTAAGAGGTCTTTAAACATCAGATACAGCCAAGAGTACATGAGCTCTTTGAATGTGTGAAGATTTGTACCTACAAGTCATTTCTGACTGGCCCTAAAGCAGCTTTTCATAGAGTTCGAAACACCGTCTAGAATTAAACCCTTAGCTAAGGTTGGTTCCCTTGTAGATCTAAAGACGGTTTTGACTCCCTTCCAAGTGGCAGCTGGAGTGGGTTGTTTCTAAGATAGTAGGAGCCATAGCTACGACAGAAAAAAAGAGCAAATTTTGTCGAATATCTCCTTTGGGTCCTCAGAACAATCCTACTATGAAGTTACTTACTATTTCCGTTATCACCTACCCACTCAGCTCCAGTCTCTCTGATTCTTATGTGCCCAAAGTAGAAATAAGTCCTTCTAAAAGTTTCTCAGAAATACAAAGGGAGGATACAAAGAACTTTACAAACTGGTTTTAGCTCATCTGCTTCTGGTTCTTATCAGGGCCACTTCTGTAATAGTCTGAGTATAGTCTTATAATACGCTAAGCCTCTAGAAACTGGGTCCAGCATCTCTGAAAACTAGGAGGCATAAATAACTACATATCCCTAGGTAAAGCATAACAACACTTGAGAAAAAGAAAGTAGTATGGAAGCAAGAACTTCAAAATATTTCTCCTTGCTCCTCGTTAGTATACTGGTGAAAAAAAAAATAGAGTATAAAAAACAAAACAAAACAAGTTCTCCTTGGGACATTCCTGCCCATCTTTGTCTCACGGAAACAACGGGCAGGTGAAGGTTTAAGATAATTTTTCTAAAAGAACTGTCCAGATGATAACTGCCATTTTCAATGAATGTGATTCGCTAAAGGAACCTGTGAATGCACGGGAACTGGATTAAGTGGTGAACTCCTAGGATGCTATTTGCGCACCAGTTGTAAATTACTTCCAACGTTTGGGTTCCCCAAGCCCCTGGCAAACTGGGTACTAATATTAGGAACAAGCTGTAAGGTGCCATTGACTGTAATGTCCATCTTAACGTCAAAATGCAACTTGAAAAGGTCCTTGCAAAACCCACATGGTCTAGCCGAGTTTGTTTACAACTCGGTCTAGCCGAGTTGTATAACTGAAAATGTTCTTGACTTAAAATTTCTAAGAAATAGCTACCATCAAAAACCAATCAATGAATGTTTGTTCACCCACAGTCAGACTTTATGGACTATAGTAAGAAGCCAGGATTTAATAATTCCAGACAAAGACTAATACAGGATTTCCTCTCCACTCCCCCAACTCGCCCACCACCAACACTTCAACACATAATTCATTTAGTCTTCTTGAATGTTAGCTGAATACAGTGCTTTCCCTTGTCTCTACACCACAATGTCCTTTAAAAGCTGGGTGTACAACTCTAGCAGGATAAAGGTATAAGGGTTCACTGATTAGAGTGGTTCAGACTAATATAAACCAAATAAAGAGAAGTGCTTACCTTGGGGGTGCCCAATCATGCCGTGTGCAGTCAAGAAGTGTACCTACATACGTCTTGTTCCTCCATGTTACATTGACCACTAACATCCCTGGAAAATAAGAACACACAGATATAGACAAGACAAACTCTGATGACCACTAAGAAGAGTACTCTTCATTTGAGCAGCACTCTGACTTCTACAGGAAGGTTGAGGGATGCACTGGGTACCAATGAGAAGAATAGAATTGGGCCAGAATAGTTCCATGGGAATGGAACTACAATGTTACTAGGATAGGGAATAGTTGCAAAAACTTCATGGTGTGGTAAAGCACATTTTCTTAATTTAAAAAAAATTAGGGCCGGGT